TGTGTCAGGGGCGGAAAAACGGCTGCTGAACACCCCGCCGGGGGGGAAAATGGCCGCAGACCATGTGTCAGGGGCGGAAAAATGGCCGTGGACCCCGTGGCATGGGCGGAAAATGGCCGCGGACCACGTGGAACGAGCGGAAAATGGCTGCGGATCTGGTACGTAAGTCGAGGCGAGTTCGTAAGTAGAGGTAAATTTTTGGGGCTGGAGCTGGTTGTATCTCGAAAAATTCATAAGTAGGGGAGTTCGTAAGTAGAGGTACCATTGTAATTAGTTATGTCTTGTCTGTTGTCTTTCTTATAGATGGATATGATTATTGCTACTTCCCAGTCCAAACTCCAAACTGAGCAGTAAGTGCATCATATTGTGGGAAGCCAGCCAATAGTTGACAGAGGGTTGTCTGCCATTCCACGAAAAGGTGTGTTTGGTGGGCCAGTATTTGCAGCCTTCCTACTTACCTCGTATGGAGTATGGGGGAGATGTTTGATGCTGGAGGCATGGAGGTTCAGCACACTTATCTACAGGGTCAGATGCTCCTCCAGTGATGGGCCACTTTCTCCTTATTTACTCTGCCTTGGAGGACTAGCTGTAAAGGTTGATCTTTAAAAACTCTTATGGGAATAATAAAGAAGTTGGCCAAGAACCTTTCAGATACAGCAGCATTAGTTGGGATAAGATGTTGTCTGAAGGTATGATGAAATGCTTAACTGACCTTGGGAGTACAGAGGAGGCAATTAAGGGAGGTAACAGGGCAGTTAGACAATAGACTTTTAAGTCCAGGGTAGGGAGGAAGTATGAGACAGAGACCCAGAGTAACTCTACATTAATGATGTTAGGTATAAGTTGAGCTGAAGAATTGCTCTGGCAGGTTTTCAAGGTTCTGCTACTAGCAAGAAATGTCTTTCTAGAAATCCAAGTGGTTCTTGTTTCCTGAGCTTGCCAGCCTTGCAGAACTTGACAGAATGTAAGGAGAATCCTTTCTGAAAGGGGTGTGTGCATGTGCGCTAGGAAGCCAAACTATTGTTCTTAGATCAATGGCTCACTGATTACATCTTAACAGGCTGCCAAGGGACTTAATTATTCCTTTGCTATCCAGCCAGCAATCTTTCTTGATGTAGTTAAGTTTAATTTCCACACAGACAAGTTGGAACACTCTACCATGGCAGGGGGCTGGGGGAGCTGCCAATTACTAGTCACTATATTTGATCTTACAGGGGAGCAGTTATGCTCCTCTTGTTCATCAGTCTGGGCATCCCTTATATTACAGTACCAAGTGCTCTTTTATGTTGTTTCAAGCAATACTTTTTGTTCTGTGATTAAGAGCCTTTCAAAAATAGCGATTATCGTATGGGTTGTAGGCAACCACTGCCTGAATATAGTCTTATGCTGGTGCTGATCAATGTTTATTGTGAGAAGGAGTCCCAGTGATAACACTGTTGGCATCTTCATCAGAAAGTGATTGAATGTTAATAGAGGAAGGAAATGTACACTCTTGGGTTATAATTGCTTTAGGTCTGCTGTTTACATTGCAGGTGTGTTGTGCAAAATAGCGTTCCTTTCCTGGTGGCCTTAAGCTTGTCAATTTTCCGTCATTTAGTAGACTTCCTGGCTGCCTGCTCTGAAACAGAGCAATGTCATTTTTTTTTTTTTTTGGTATGCCATCAGTCTCCTCATCTCAAGTGTTTGTGACTCAAGAAGGCCTTGTTATATCTTCTTTTCTCAACTTCAATGAGCCTCAGGCCGAAGTTCAGATCATTTATCTACAATCCTAAGCTTCTTGCCAGTTATGTGGAACTTCTTAAAAGGACTGTTATTCCAGTGCTGCTCCTGCTCCTCTTTAAAGTGGCTAGCATCTTTTAGAAACAAAGCAAGGGAAACTGAGAAGACCTGACAGCAGGCAGAAATTGAGTAGGCATATCTGCAGGTGCTAACTTGGCTGTATCTCAGAGTGGTTAGCATCTAATGGAAGATCAGAGTCTAGTGCAAGGACAACTTTTCACAAGAAGCCTTCTCCTTTTCAAAAAATGATCAAGTAGCAGATCAGGGACAAGAACTTGGCCTGATCACCTTGAGAGCCGATTCCAATCAGAGGAAACCATACTGGGATCCATGGAAACGTGGTCTGAAGGTAAGGTGACTAATTCTAAGTAGTCTAGTTCTAAGGGAGAGTATTTTCATGGACTCCTGAGTCAGAAGAGACCAAAAGACTCCCCACCTTAACCCTCTTCCCTTTTTGGAGCTCTCAGGAGGCTGTCTTACCCTTAACCAAGCTACCCAATGCAGAGGAGGCCAAAAGAGTAGGAGGGCTTTCCTCACCTTGTAGTGCTGCAGCGTGTTAAGCCGCTTCCAGCTGCCCTGGACGATCGAAGTCACGTCCTCGTCAGAGAGGATGAGGTGCCCCGCCAGCCCGGACCGCCATTCTGTTGCCATCACAAAGAAGAAAAAACAAGAAGCAGCTTGTTTGGAAACAGCACCGTGCAGAGACCAGCAGTTCCAAATTTGTTCATCCGGCATGCCATTGGCTACAATCAGTCAGGTGACCTTCCCCACAGGGGCTTCCTATTGGCTCATTTGGCTCATTCGGATTGCCTCGGAAATGGATGGGAGTACTTGTTTGCAGTTGCCTAGCAACCTGGATAATGCTAACATGGGAGGCTGGCAGGTGGACTTTCACTTTGGGGGTCTTACTCAAGGTGGCCCTTCCAGCGCCCATTCCTGATCTTTGACTCACCCAAGTCAAGCGAGTCCGGGTCAGGTCGATGGCAATAAGGTGTCCCTTTGTAGATCTGGTCCAGGATCTTCTCTTTCACTTGGGTGATTGTGTCGCAATCCAGACCCTTCACCAACACTCCCTGGCTGCCCTCTGTTCCTCCCCCTGTGTTCCCAGCTTGAGACAGTGCAGTTAACGTCTGCAAAAACAAGAAATCAAGACCAACTGATTCCAGTGTATTCTCCTTGTCCTTAGCTCCTGGCAGCCACAGGAGTGCTGGTGGTTCTTTCTGTCCTCTTAGATTAAAATTGGATTAATTAATTGGAGGTACACGTGGCTTCTTTTTTATCCTCATGGTCACTGATTTGGCTCATGGCTGATGCAACACTCCTCCCCCACGACCCAACTGGCATGTGCCAGCCATGCAGAACTGCAGATGACTCGATCAGCCATCAGGCGGCCAGTGCAAAGGAGGGTGGAAGGGTGGCTTCCCACTCCCTGTCATGATTAAGATTTGGCCAGAATGAAAACCGCTGAGAAAATATCCACAGTGCTGCAAGCAGGACAGGTGACATTGCAGAGGAGTTTGGGGTGAGGAGGGGCTAATAAACCTTCCCTCACTTCGGCTGCTTTTCCACTCTTCTCACACAGGGCTGTGCAGGGCAGTGGCACAGCAGAGACTGAATGCTTAGAGAAGCCCTGCTTCTGTGAGGCCACTGCAGAATTTCATCTCAGTGAAAGGAGGGGGAAAGGGTTAGTTGACCAAGGAAGCAGTTAAATTCACAGACCGGTCTGTCTGGGGCTAAATCCAATGCTCCGAGGGCTGGGATATCTGATCCCGTTTTTCTGCTCACCCCACCCCTCCATGACTCAGTTAACAGCGCTGCATGAAGAGAGCCACTCTGTGAGATAGATTAGAAAGGGAGATACTGATTGCCCAAAAGTTACCAAGTAAATGTTATGGATTAACAGGGAAATGAATTCTGTCATTCTATATCCAAACCAATACACCTTGCTGGCTCTGCAGAGAAGTCGTTTGCTCCAATTAAGCTGCAGAAGGGAATGCGTTTGGGAGCGGGGAATCATTTTCAACAGAACCACTGTGTGTGAGTGAGATTCTGACACCTTCCCTGTGCATAATCTTTTCGATATGGGGTTGGGAGCACACATTTAGCATGCTGGATTTGCACAGTTTGCTAGACTAATCTAAAATGGGTCCTGGTCATTTGCAATTCAGTGTACTTTTGGAATCCAGTCCCTGTCTTCACATGCTATGGGAACCACGTTGTCTGGCTGAGCATACTATGTTATGTGGATTCAGTAACTGTATTTTCTTCCTCTCAGTTTAGTATGTGAACCCAGCCTTACTAAAGTAGTCAAATATCATTTAAACTGAAAAAAAGTGAAAAGTGATGCTCAAGCTTTAGTACAGTCTTCCCCAGCCTAGTGCCCTGCAGGCGCGTTATGGCTTCAGCACCCAGGATTCCTAGACAGCACGGCCACTGTGGGAATGGAAATCTAACATCCTACGGAAAGCAACAGGTTGGAGTAGACTGGGCAAGAATAGTTGCACCATTTTCCACCCCATATTATGCTTGGTTAGCCAGGGTGAAGGCTGGCTTGATCCACAGAGCCTGAAAAGGGCAACTTGCAACTGCAGTGAGATTATATGCTCCAAAGTGGAAAGGTTCTGCATTACCCACAATGGAGGAATGGTTGGTGAAGATGATGGAACTTGCAGAGATGGCTAAAGTGACTTCCCTGATTAGAGAAAAGACAATATCTACATTTATTGTTGACTGGAAACCCCTTACAGACTTTTTGCATGAAACACAAAAAAATGCATTTATGATTTGTGGTTTTGATGATTAGAAAAAAATTAGATAATAGAAAAAAGTGAGCTTTTCTTTTTGTAACCCTAGAGTTAGAGATAACTTTGTAATCATACTTGTATTTGCTGCAAAGAAAATCGGAAGCGTCTTCTATTTCTTTTTTCCTCGCCTCTTTTTTCTTTTTTTCTTTCTTTTCCCTTTTTTCTTTCTTTACTCTGTATTAGTTTTTGTTAGTTTTTATTTTCTCCTTAAAACTTTTAATAAAATTGATATTAAAAAAAAAAGAAAAGAAAAGAAAAGAAAAGGGCAACTTGCTAAGAATGGCAAGGTCATTAGGAACAGGATGGAGATACGAAAGAAGGGACCTGGACTCTGAAGATGGCTAGAAGCATGCAGCTGACAGTGTGGTCCAAGTCTGGTTCTAGCTGTGCTTCTTCCTCACAGGCCATCAGTAGCCCTTACCAGTGTGCGGTATTCCAGGTCTTCTCGGAGAAGTCGGTTGTCATTCAGGGTGTACTTAGCCTTCCCAGTTACCCAGTCCACAGGTCCCTTGTCTACTTGGTGCTTGATACCTCGGAAGAGCATATAGAGGGGCTCCCCAACAGAGTCCTAGTGGAGAAACAGAGAAATCCTCATCACCACCCTTCCAGATGCTCTCAAGTTTCCACCTTCCATTTCTGACCATCTAGCCCTATACAAGAAATGGGTCCAGTGGATGACTCCCACCAAGCCAGGTTCAGTGCCCAAGTTTAGCTTTCATCCAGCAGATTAAATCCCAGTCTGATGTGCAAATGCCAACATTAGCACCATGCAAATATATGATAGAGATCCTAGGAAAGTATGTTTGTACTAAAAGCATCATCTGGGTCTGAAAACACTGAAGGGTAATAATTCATTTCATAAGAAAGTGGCTTGGTGCTGAGTAAAATCTGTTTCAGTCAGCAACTGGCCTGCTTGCATCAGTATTAAAAATGTCTGGGCTCAACCTAAATACTAGGGTGCCAAGAACAGACACTGCATAGGTTCCTATTTCACAGGTCTGACTGTTCCCAGTATGTCAACATGTCACTAAGAAAAAAAAAAACTTGGCTAGAATGTCTTGTTCCTGATCCAGAGCCAACTCAGACTCTTATTCATCTGTTTTAGCAATATTTAATGCACAAGAGGACACTGGAGTCTTGAATCTCTCACTGTGCTCCTCCATCAAGATCTTGACAGCTGAGAATTAAGGGGTCCCTGGCATTATCAGAGCAGAGGTTTATGTAGTCAACCATTCAGAGCTAGCTACCTAGCAGAGAAATACATGATATATATGTTGACCTTCTACATATAATGGGATTGATGGATGTCTCACCCTTACAAATGCGTAGAGACAGATGGACATCCAGTTGGTCAGCAACTTCTCAACCACAGTTTCTGTCCTGAAAGAGAAGTTGAAGTTGTTTCAACCTTGACCCCATTAGAGATAACCTATATCTGGGGGTTGGCAACCTGCCATTCCAAGGCTACATGTGGCCTCTGATTTCCCTTTTTACAGTCCCTTTGATCATCATTACTCTCCTTCCTCATTTTATGATAGGAAATGCATAGAAACTATAGTGGTAGCCTTAAAAGAAGTGTGTCACTATTAAAAACTGTTATAAAACAACAATTAATTCCCCAAATTCCACCACCCCCAAACCCAGCCCCACACGTTATTGTCACACATCACAGTGGTGACACACTATTTAGAACATTCCACTTCTTTAAAAAATCTTGAAATGGGGAGATGGGATATTCCTAGTATCTTTGGGAAGTTCTACCTGCTCTGCTCTATAATTAACTGTATGTTCCTTATGGTGTTTGTTACTGTAAAAGATGGTGTTGTCTGATGTACAGGCTTTTAGAAAGAGGGATAATATAAATCCATTAAAAATCAGTAGCTACTTTATTTATAGGAACATTTTTATTTTTAATAATTGTAGATTGTTCTTCAATGCTAACAACCTTCCCAATTGGTTTAAAAGGCTCCAAAACAAAGGCCTATAAAAACTAAAACCTAACACTGAGAAGGGAGGCAAATTCAGTCCTCTTAAAAAACAAAATTCCTGAGCACCACGCAGAGTATACCTGCCTAAAATCTCTTTAGAGATGGGACAGTGTCCGCTTCTTATGGAAGGGATTCCATAACTGGAGAGCCACCACAGAAAAGACCCTTACCCCATTCGCATATTAAGAAGTGACATGCCATTGTTTTTTAGTGGCCCATTGTGCTAGCTGGCAAACACTGGGAATTGACTATTGCCTCCTTGGCCACAGCTAAGCTTTTTAGTTGGTCTCTGTTGGAAAGAGAACACCATCTTTTACAGAAATATCCTAGTTCTGATTTAATTCCGATGGTGTTTTGTACAGCAAATGTCCAGACCAGGTTTATCCATTTGAGCAAGCAATCAAGAGAAAGTGATTCAGCCTGAGAAAGAAGAGCAAAGGCCTCTTGGATCTAATGTCCTGTTTCACAAAGGTACCACTAGATGCCTACAGAAAATCTGCATATCAGGAACAAGGGCAATAAAACTTCCCCATTGTATTGTCCCCCAGCTTGAGCATCCCACAACTATCAAGACCAGTAGCCCTGATACATGTGCCCTTCCTCAATTTGTGTGTCTCCCAGGCTCTCTTCTGACATTGTCCTTCACCTTCGCAGCATCAGCTTTGGGTTCTTGGCCACATATTGCTCCACCAAGTCATTCAGGAGAGTCTTGAGGATATCTGTGAAGTACTCGAGTTTCCCATGCAAGGCAACTGTGAGAAGTGATGCAACATAAGCTCGGTCCCTTGGAGAGAATGTGCGCTGAATTTCCAAGGTGTGAATGAACTGGACAAAAGAGAGATGATCCAAGATGACACTGGCTGTTGGCTGTTAGGCAATTACTTCTTGGCTGGTGGGCAGAATAGCCATTTTAATTGATTGATTTAATTAAATAAGCTCCATAAAAAGCTAAAGCAGGCAAAACAACTCTCAGCAGAAATAAATAAAACCACAAATTCCATATCTCATATGCAAATGGAAGAATACACGCAGTTTGGATAAGCTTGCATTTTTTAAAAACACATCACGGTGTGGTTTTCTCTCCAACTTTGAGTCTCCTCTTCTGCTCCCTCCACTCCAAGAATCTGTTCACTTCTGCTAAACAGGCTTTTGTTATAACATTCTAAGTTGCGCTGAGTAACAGTCATATGCCCTGATTGATTCCGGAGATTGTTTAAACATTCTGTAATAACTACTGATAAGCTTTCCAATCTTTTTCTACACTGGTGGCTAGGAACTTACTTTTATGCTTCAAGTAATGAACATCCAGGCTGAGTCTGAACAATACCTTTTAACTCTGTTACTGCATTAACTCATTTTCTGCACTCACTCAATTACACTGAAAATCAAATGAACAGGCTAGATTCATGTTAAGCCATTAAAAAACAAGCCAAGCTGAAACCAACCAAGTTTAGCATGTTATTTGAGTGCAATCAGTAGGCCTTAAACAATCCTGGGTGTTATGCATGACTTTAGCCATTATGGCCTGGGTCCTGCAGGGTAGAACTCTGTTGTGTGTGATTGATTTGATTTGAGTCTTTATTTGAAACATACCTTGGTGAGAAAGAGCTTGCTGTTGAGGAGATTAGAAAGCTGCACCAAACCTTGTTCAACCGTCTGCCTCCGGGATTCAGGCACATCCAGGTCCCTTTGCAGTGGTGATTCACGGTGACCCGGGAAGAAGATGCGTTCCGCATAGGACTTGTAATCCAAGAAAGGAATCCCGGTGCCAACCAAGTCACTGGTGAGATCCATCATTTCAGTCATGAGGTCTAGAAAGAGAGGAAGCACACGAGTCATCCGGGAGTGGCGTGAGAAGATGGAGTGTGGTAAACGTAGAAAACTAAAAAGGTTTCTGCCTTATATCAGGAATTGAGTGAATATGGCATCTCTAGAAGTAGGGGGCAGAATGCTTTCTCTTACCTGTAAATTCTTTTTTGCACCGATCCCGGACACTTGTTTCCAGATTTTCTAGCTGGATTTGAACTTTTTTGTAATCTCTCAGGGCCTGTTTGCTCTTCCGCCTATAATGAAAAAAAGAAAAAAAAATCACACTGGTCCCTTTCTTCCCAAATTTTACAAAGGTACCTCCTTCATTGGAGAATGTCCTCCCATATTCTCTCTGTCTGGATCATTTGGGAAATGTTTTGTGGAGTGTGTAATTTCTATTACAATTTGAATCTGGAGAGCAGGAGCAAGGGCAGGGAAAAAGACAGACTTTTTTAAAAAAGGGAGTTAATTGAAGAGATATTGCAGATGTTGAATCTTATGCTAGGTTGGAATATTTATTCATCTTCTTTTGTACCGTCTACCTAAACTGGGAGCAGGCTGAACAAGGTCATTCCCATCACTAGTTACTAAATCCTTTTTAAATGGTAAGACCAAGATCTTTTGCATACAAAGGAGATATTCTTCCACTCATGACATGTCTCCTTCTCTCTCCAGTATGGGGATGGGATAGCTATTGCTGGCAGAGATGGCGGATGTATCTTTCACTGCCTCTCTAGATCAGTACCAGCAATGTGGAATGGAATCCATCTGGGGAATCCATGGAACAGGAAGACCCTGACTCTCATCTCATTTCTGCTAGGAGATCCAGTTTGCCGCCACCTTCTCACCTGTAGATGAAGACGATGATGAGAACGATCAAGGCCACAAAAGAAGCTCCCACTCCCAGGCCAATCTGGGCCTCCAGCGGGAAGGTGAGCTGACTCTCTGTATCATATTGCACACGACCAAGCCAGAAGTTCTTGTTCCCCATTTGAACCTGCAGGAGGACAAACGTATACATACACCAGCCTGGGAGATAGACCATGGGCCAAGATAAAATTTCTCAAGCCTCTGGCTTTTCATCACAAGTGGCTGCCAGTCCTATTTTTGCTCCTTTTTGCATTATTTCTGAACACTGTTTTTATTGACAAGAATTTGAGATCCCTCATCCAGTAGTCCCTCAAAGTTGCTGATGCAGAAGGGAGAAACCAATGACCAAAATTTACACTTTTTTTTTTTCTTCCTCCCACAGTTGGTTACATATCACTGCAATTTTTAAAGTAAAAAACCAACTTCTTAAAGCAGGTTTCCCATTTAGATTGAATTTTAACTCCCATCATCCCTAGACCACATCTTACCGTAAACTCTGGCAGGGAGTCAGTGCCTTCCCGCTTAGCCCGGTGTTGGGGGGCTGGTTGCTCAGTGGGAGGCTCACAATACAGGTGGTTCTTTGTGAGGGTCTTGACTGAGCAGATCCCAACTCCAATCATGGCTTTTACTTCATCTTTAGAAATGGCCAGGTCCAGGTTCTCTCCCTGGAGGAACGAATATAAGGACAGCCTTGTGAAAAGTTAGTCTACACCTGGGATCCCCAAACTCTTCAGCTCATCGACCCCTTCATGAAGTTTCAGATCGGTCATCGACCCCCAAACATTTATTATATGAAAATAATTTAACAAATACTACTTTAATAATACTACAAATAATAATAACAATAGCAACATTGACCCCTTGGATAGTCCCATTGACCCTTGGAGGTCGATACTGACTACTTTGTGGAACCCTGGTCTACACATTACCAGTTTGCAAAAAAGTGACTGCTAGCTTGCTAGTGGCAGGGAGGTTCCAGCTACATTTCTGCGCTCAGGGCAGAAGAGGGCTTGAAGATCCTGTCTCTCTGCACATTCCAATTATTATCAAATATGCCTCACTTCCATCATACCTTATCACATTCTGTAACCAAATTTCAACTCCATACAAAATACAACCTAATTCAAGCCTATTCATTTTATCATACGTGTTCTATTATACTTTTTCTGCATTAAAGTTTCTTTCTCACATTCATACATTTCTCAAAGACTTGCTAAGAGCAAAAAATTGGCTTACACGTCCCCTGCCAGGTGCAGAACCACCCTGCATTTCCCAAATGTTATTCATTGCCACCCCATGTATCCATTCAATCAGATTTCTGCCAAACATTTTCCCAGGCTCCATCAGCAAACCAAGCCCCATGAAGTGTTTGCATTTATTCCTCCTACCTTTCTGCTTGTAAAAAGCAGTGTTTTTCAAACTTGACAACTTTAAGATGTGTGGACTTCAACTCCCAGAATTACCCAGACAGCATGCTGGCTGAGGAATTCTGGGAGCTAAAGTCCACACATCTTCAAGTTCCCAAGTTTGAAAAACCCTGGTATAAAGGAACAATAGTGGCATTCCTCCAGTCATCAAGCACACATGCACCTCTCATGTACACATTAAATAAGTTTCTAGCTCCCCATAAACAAACCACATCCATATTTTAATACTTCTCCAGTTAATTCATCTATGCCTGCAGCCATATATTTTTTCAATACTCTCCCTGCATTTATGACTTCCTTTTCATCAGTTTTTTCAAACCCAATCCAAAGATTAGTGATAAAGGGAACTGTAGGCTAGAAAAATGGGAAAGACTACATATTCTTCATCCCTGTGTTAAAGTAGACGCCTATCTTGGGCTATTACCCCATTAGGGGTTACACAGAATCTCCAAACCTGAAGCAAACTATTTCTAAACAGGAGATGATCTTCCTGCTTTACTTGTGTGTTCATGGCTCATTTGTGTATGGTAAGGTGTATTGGTGAGGACTAGGCAGATCCCAGTTCACGCCACTGTCAGCCATAGAAGTGAATGGCTGATTTTGAGTTACTATCTCTCAGCCTGACATTTCCCTCCCAGGGTTGTAGCTGTGGGAGAAATGAGAGGACAGAAGACTAGATATGTTACAACAAGCTCCTAGAAGAAATGTGCAATGTAAATTAATGGATGAATGGATCAAATGCATATATAAATGTACATACAGCACCTTGAGAATCTCAGCTGTAATTTTTGAAACAAAGCAAAGGCAGTATCCTACATAATACAAGATAATCATAACCAATAACCAAAGAAAACACATTGCCTCCGTTTATGGAGAACAAGCTGTTCTGTTTACCTCCACGGAGATGATACTTCCAGGCTTGTGACGGTACGGTTTGGTGAGATCGTCTGTATTGAGGGGCTTCAGGAAGGGGTCAACTTCATAAGAAAAGCCAGTGGGATGAAAGGCATTGAAGTCAAAGCTGAGATTATCCAGGACAAACTCCAGTTTTACTTGAATGGAGTGGGACAATGGCTTAATAGCTGGTGTCTTGCAAAGTATGAGGTTGGAAGAGTTGACTTCACATGGCTCTTCAAACTAGGATCAGAAATGAAGGGAAATGAATGGTGACAACTAATTCTCCACTCTTCCAAAGCTACTCTGTTTTCAGCACAAGAAATTCCTGAAGTGGCTCTCCATACCCTTTTCTGGGTACTTTCTAGTAGAAGTTGACCAAGGCGTCATCTATATTTCATTCCCATACCCAAGTCTTCAAGCAAAATAGATTGTTCAACACAGAGCTTCGAATTCTGGACTGGAATTAGTAAGACCCCAGTGAACCAGGATATCCCCTGAGAGGCCTCGAGTCAATCTTTTGCTTTTCAGTCCAACCTATTTTACATAGAGCTTGGGGAAAAAAATTGGGATGGGGTTTGGGAGTCAGATGTATATCCCAATGTTCCTTCAGGTGTTCCTCCACTGTTCATAAATATATGAAAATAAATTAATAAATAATATAATTTGCAGTAACTTGTGTAAACCTCATGAGAAAGGGGAAAATTCACTTAAGTCCAGTAGTAAAAAGGTACTGTAATATATTCAAATAATGGACTATTTTTAAAAAATATGAGGCTCACATTTGTTTATGCTTCCTTCTTCCCATTTTGCCAGAACAGTGTGGAAATGCTTCCATTTTTGGTGAAGAGATACATAGCAGATGACAGATCGCTGGTAGCTGAGAAGCTTTAAGTCACAGAGAGGGGAATCAGGGGCAGGAACGATCCCATAAAAGACTACATGAATCTCAGCAAAAACTCCTATGGAAACCCCAAGAATCAGAACATCTTTACCAGCAGCGTTTGCTTAGAACAAACATTATAAAGATTCTTCAGAGTTCTTGGCAGTGCAGAAAGGGCACAGCACTTCCCAGCGTAGCAGAAATCTTCCTAGCAAGGCCAAAGGCAATGAATCATAGAGTTGGAAGGGGCCACCAGATCCAACCCTCAATGCAGGGATCCAAATTCAAGCATCCCTATTTGATGGCTATCTAGTTTCTGCCTGAACATGTCTAGGGAAGGGGAGCCCACCATTTCTCTGGGTAATTGGTTCCACTACCAAACTACTCTTACTATTAGGAAGTTGTTTCTAATACTCAATTAGAATTTGCGTTCCTATAATTTAAATCCATGCTTTTTATAGTCTGGCCCTCTGGATAGATGGAGAACTGGTCTGTGCCTTCTGGGTGATCTCAAGAATGCCTCAAGAATGGAATATGGCTCCTTTCCTCACATGTGGCATGCTAGAAACATCAGCTGAAGCCTTTAACTGGCTCTTGACTGTGGGAATAATATCCAAACTTCCTGTTTGAACCATGCCTGACTCTTCCTGGCCCTGAAGTGAGCTGAACATAGTTCTGTTCTCCAACCTGGATTTCTCTAGCTTTAGCTTGAAACAGGTTAAGAGGTATATTTTTATCTCACTTACTTGCTGGACACTGCAGAGAGCATTCTCTAGACATTCTGTTTCTGGGATAATCCTACGCCACCTTCCCACTCCCCGTCGTCGGCGCTCCAAGGGTGAAACTGTGACACGGACTTTTGGCCACTGCACGACATCGAGGTTATGCCCATGAACTCTTATCTCTCGCCCGCCACTGAAATAATGCATACAGATGTACAAACATTGGCGGCTTTAGCACATTTAGTTTTGGTATTTGAAGCTTTGGGATTCTTCCATTAAGGCAATGGAAGACAATCAATGGTTCTAAATCGACACTGCAGTCCCAGGGTGATTCCCTGCAGCCTCATAGATCCCACCACATTTGCCTCATCAGACAGCATAGAAGAGGAGATGGCAACTTGGTGCTGTCCAAATGGTCAGGGTACAGTTTCTATAACTCATGACCACTGAACCCATTGTCTGAGGTCAATAAGAGCTGTAGTCCAAACAGATTGTGGGAGGTAACAGATTGTGTGTCCCACTGATATATAGGTTGAATTCACAATTAAATGGACCAATAATCTGAGACAGATTAAGGCAGCTTCCTATATTTCTATTCTATAACCCTATCATATCCATATTCTTACCACATGCTTTAAGGAAAATCTCCTGAAAACAGGCAAGACTTAGCAACTATGAAAAAACTGTGCTGTCAAACAGCAGATGTTCACAAAGTTATCTGCTTGCCTTGTAGAGAAAATAGGTGGTTTCACTGGGTGATAATCACTGCCCTGCAGTGGTTGGAATGCTGAACTAGGAGCGGCAGAAACTCTCTTTCAATCCTGCTATTCCGAGGTCCATTTTGTGGGTAGCAGGCACAACTCTGGCACCTCCAAATATGTTGGCTGGAGGAATTCCTCTGTCTGATCCCTGAGAGCTGCTACTGATTGGAGTACTTGGTCTGATCCAGGGAATTGCAACGGGGGATGCAAGACCTACACTGGCGGACTCGTTTTTAATACGGATTAGCTTCTCCTTTATGTGGATCAGAACATCATCATCAAGAGATTTGGAGGACCACCACATCAGGCAGTGGTCAGCAGCATGGGACCTGTGGGCATGATGGCACCCATTTCTTCCCCAAATGTTGAGCCTGTTGGATCTCAACATTAAATTTAAATGTATTTAAAACTTAAAAATGACTGAGAGCACATTAGATTTGCCCCAACTCTCTTCTGAGATTTTGCCTACTTAGTTTTAATTATCATTTTATTTTGGCCTCTATACCAGGAACCACTAGCATAGTCCTCACGAACTACCTGTGATCTCCACACCACAGGTTCAGAAACACTGATTGATAGTATGACAGAAACGTGCAGGTCATTTAATTCTTAAATGTTAAAATACCTCAGCATAAGACAGAGTAGCAAACCTGTCCCTCTTTAGACACTGCTGGACTCCAAAAATTATCAATCCTAGTCAGCAGGACCCATGAGCAGAAGGGACAGGAGTTCAAGTCACAGATTTTCAACCACAAAGCTTCATCTCAGATCTGTCCTGTTTGTTGTTACCTCTGGAAACTCTTGGCTGGTTCTGCATAGGTGATGTTGGGGTCAAGGGTGTATTTGAAGAAGGAATGCTTCAACTTCCGTTCTTGATCACCATACTTGACTGTGATGGAAAACTCTGTAGACACATTACTGGCACTTGTCTGGCACAGCAACTCATCTTCCTGCACCTCAGAATGACTTTGGAGGAAGGAGAAAGCAAGAGAAATATACAAACCTACTCTAGAAAATACTTAGTTTACCAACATTACAAAACAGTAAAACCTCACTGAAAAACACAATTTAAAAGCCACATAGTATTTGTGGGCAAAGCTGGGCACTTTGTGGCCTACTGTAAGTATCTTCCAAGTTTCCAGGAGCTACCAAGAGAAGGAGGTGAGAAGACTGAATTCCCAGTCCTGCTTTTTCTCTTCAATCCATAAACTGTGAGTACATTCCTAGATGCTACTTTGCCACAGAAATGAACCACATCTAGAGCGAACAGCCAGTGTGTAATCGAAGAGAGAGAGCTATAAGCAATGCTGTGGAGATATGCCCTCCTCAGAGAGATTCTGGCTCTTTTCCCTGATTTAATTAAACATGAAAACATTTTCATGAAAACTTCATGAGTGTTATGTTTTTTTACTAAAAATAAAAGCTTAGTTTCTAGTCTTTTGTTCTTACGGACATATAAAGGAAAATAATGAGAACAGTATTGTGTTATAATAAACAGTGGTTGGTATAAAGTAAATCTTCTCCAACCTTCCCCATGTTCTGTCTAGTGGCACTGGGGAGCCACAAGGCTCTTCTTTTCAATTTTGATAACCATTTTATTTTACTAATATTTGAAACAATGAATAGTGCAGTCTTAATCCTATCTATTCAGAATTATTCTCTTGGGTTGAGTAGGATTTATTCCCAACTATGTACAGATAGTCCTTATTTAGCAACCGCAGTTGGGACTGGCAACTCAGTTGTTAAGCACAGTGGTCACTAAGTGAAACTGCAAATGTGCTTGTGGTCTTATTTCAGCACTCCTTTGCTTTACAGACCTGTGAAGGTCATAAATGTGAGGACTGGTTGTAAAGTTACTTTTTCATCACTGACATAACTGTGAATGGTTGCTAAATGAGACAGTCGCTAAACGAAGACTACCTGTATAGGATTACAACAGATTTAATAGGTTTTGACTGTTCCTCTTCGATTTCTCCTATCCCAAACATACTACATCCATCATAACAATATTTTTGACTCCAAGCCTAGTGAGAACCACATGGGACTGAAGATGATCTCTTTGTCCTCTGATTCATATCTCCTTCTTAGAAGTGCAGGATAGGGATGTGGGGGGAAAGACATTCAGTTTTTATCTGAATAAGACCAGGTCTAATTTTGCCTCTTTTAACCAATACACATGTAAAAAATAAATTATGCTTTTAAAAAAAAAAGCATAAAGTAGGAGCAAGTCTGTAGAAAAACACATGAATGGAAAAATGAGAACTCAGAAACCGAATTAACAAGTTTGCAAAAATGAAATCAAGAAAATCCAAATTTCTCCAAAGTAGACAGATTCAAGAAAGACCAGGAGATTCAAGTGCTCCTGGTCTTTCATTTAAGAGAACAAAGGTGGATGAGGATCTTCAATAAACTCTGAAAAGGAGGAGTTTGTGCAGCCCCCCAGAGTGATTTCTGATCCCATAGCAAAGGTTGTCTTTTATCATGCATGTATGTATATACAGTATGTCTCTCGGTGTGTGTCTATATATTTGTATGTATATACGGGGGTGGAATGTCTGGGTTCCAATGAACTCCGTCTTGGACTGAGCCAAATTCTTACATCCTTAAATAATGCCCTGGGAGCAAATCTGAAAAAGTAGCTGCCGCCAGCCCTTATTTTCTTACATGTAGCAAGGGAAGTGTCCAACCCAAATGCTGATTCTGCTGGGATTTCCAGTCAGCAGCTTCGATCCGGTCAGTGTGAGGCAGGTTCCTCCCGCCTTGGGGCCTCGAGCTGGAGAAACGGATTTCAACTCTGGATTCTGCACAGAAGGGCAGGGAAGGAATGACTGCATCAGAAAAGGCAAGATGGACAGGCGAGGAATGCAGATACTTGGAGGGATGGTGTTAGTGCTCTTCAAACCACCAGGGCATTGAAAAATAGGCTCCTCTAAAGATAAAGAGCTGAGGGTAGTCTGGTTGCTTCAGAACCACTTTTTGCTCAGGAAAGAAAACTCTTTCCACTCAGTTCACACAGGGAAAAAAATTGATGAGCAAAATCCCCAGGGATGGTACAAAACAATCAAGCAGCCAGAACTGTGGATAGAAAAAAGTGACCCCATTCACTGAAGAAGTTCCATGTGAAAGCATTATGAGGTGAGAGGTGAATTGGGAACCTATGGTAGAACTCCAATTTCTACCAGCCTTACCAGCATGGCAGTAGTCAGGGGGATGGGAGTTACAGGGTCCCCACATCCACATGACAGGAAGAGCTGATAATGAATGATTTTATCTCTAGTAGATTTAGAAGTACAAGAGTATTTCATCATCACCTGCACAGAGTGTTGCCTTGCTGATATACCTGTTATGGTTCATACAGCAACATGTTTACGACTTGCACAGGTTGTAAGAAATTGCACATATTCGTTCAGAATGGGAGTGTGGGAAAAGTGTTTGACTCAATGGATCAAACACTTGCGCAATTTGTGTAGTGCATGTTAATTACGATCTTTGCAACTTTTAACGGGAGGGACTGTAATGCAGATGGAACAAATGGAACAAATGAAATCCCCATGCTGCCTGAGAATTCTGAGAACTGTCCTTTCAACACATCAAAGAAACCAAGTCTGGTTCTTTTGAAGAGGTTGGCTTAGTATCTGAAAAAAAGGGTTAACATGAGCTTTTTTACACATCCTCAAAATAGACTGTGGAAAGAGGTAGGTGAGAGTATATTTTATTTATTGATTGCATTTATATATTTTATAGGCCACCCAACTCCCGGCGACTCTGGGCGGATTACAATTAAGAATAAAAAATTACAAAACACCAAGAAGAAACCGTGAACGGACCCCAAAACAACATACAACCAAAAAAGAAACCCATCTAATAAGGGTTACCCCTTCTTCTGCCCCTCTGGAATTGAATGCAACAAGTGAAAATGAATACTTTTTTGCACGTGTGAAGGTGTTCCATGCCAACAGGTAAACCTGACTGCGTGGAGCACCTGTGCACATAGGAAATCTTTCCCATATCTCATTTGTTAAGATCTAGTGGTATTAGGGAAGTTATGACCTCTTCCTCTACAGCAATGTTTCTCAACCTTGGGCACTTTAAGATGTGTGGACTTCAACTCCCAGAATTCCCCAGCCAGCTGGCTGGGGAATTGTGGGAGTTGAAGTCCACACATCTTAAAGTGGCCACAGTTGAGAAACACTGCCCTACAGACATAAATAGGGCTAGGATGCGTCCCCATTGGGTGAGAGTTTCCTAACCCTTGCATTAATGGCACCAGATGCATTGTTTAGGGCTTCAATTAAGGGGAGAGACTTCTGCTTTTCCTGGAAGTCACATGTCCTTTTATTCAATCTCCCCTTTAGCTATAGAGTCATTTTACCTGATAGGTGAATACGTGACCAGAGATGCCTTGCCCACCTCCAGGAACTTCCACGACCACATGCCCGGACCTCTCTGTGCCGCTTCTGCCCGTGGTGCATACGATACTGCAGGACAAGGGCAGAAGAGAGGATGGAGAAGAATCCCCCACCAAGGTGCACCACATGGGCTGCTCTAAACCTGAGTTAATGAGAGGGGGGGCACTTTTAGCTCTTGGCCTGGTGGGGGAGGAGACTTCACCCACCTGAAGAGTTATCCTGTTGAACAAATGTCCTTCCTCCACAGTCTGTGACTGGCTCACTTCCTTGAGCCAAGAGCTTGGCAAACACATCTTTTGGCAGCGCAGGAGACTAATGTGTGTGTATGTGTGTGAAATAACATTTGTAATGACAAATGTGGTAACATTTGTGATGACAAATTTCACAGCATAGGGATGAATGGGATGGACCCTTCAACTCCTGGGTACCCTTCAACTCCTTGATTCAATATACTGCATTTTGTCACCGCCTTTCTTGTGGGAAATCCCCTTCTATGCCCAAACAAGTCATTTGTTTCATCTGATTCCCCACATTTCAATCACACTGGATCTTTCAAAGTACAGTTGTGTCAGGGACATCTGTCAGCAAAGTGGTGGACTATTTACTGAAGATAAATGGCTTTCATTGCAGGTGGGTTTGATTATAGAGCTGATGTTTGCAGTTTCAAGAGCGAAAATATCCCGAATCAGGTACACGGCCATTTAGGTCTGTATTCTTCCAGATGCTGTTGGATTCCAATCCTCCAATTCCAAATCTCTACTGTAAATGATATGCAGTCTACCAACAGGTTTCCCACCTTAATTATCAACCTTTCCTTCTTTGTCCCAACAGGAGCAAACAGCAGCCACAATCAAGGGTTTTCTTTCTTCTGCTTTTATGGATTTTATCTCACAAGTATGTTCATGGACAAAGCAGTTTAAATGGCAGAAGCACCAGGACTGAACGTGCCCTACTGACTTGGGACAAGGAAGCACCAGAGTAAAGTAGGTGCCCTATCCTCATTGCCTTACAATTCCCAGTACCCTGTGAAACAGGAATCAGGGAAGGGTTTGAGGTACAGCAGCCAGTCGTTTTTATTTGTGGGGAATGTAACTTTGATTTGCTTGAATCTGCTAGTTTTGGTATGACCTGTAGGTTCCTGTGAACATATTTCTTAAATTTCACACTAATCTATCAGACCTGCAGATTTCAGTCTGTCACTGCCAGATCCTCCTGTAGGCTTTCTCCTGTCAATAAAGCTGATCCTATGAATTCCACTAGCCCATGACAAACACCCTACCCCCACCAGTGGCACTAGAAGCAGCTGCTTTTCCATCAGTGCTGTTGCTGATGGAAAAAACACTATCTGTTTAAGGGAGGAGAACAGAAATGTTCACCCACTCCCAGCTATGCCATGGAACAGCACTGTTATTACTGCCATGAGCCGACTGGACATGCACTTACCTGCTGGAGATCTCATACACCAGAGCATCAACTTCACAGGGGATTCCTGCAACTGTGACAGACTCTGCAATATCTTGATGCTTCTGACCAAGGTTCGAACCAGTAATGGTGATTCTGGTGCCACCTTCAACCAGACCAGTTAAGGGGTAAACCTAAGAAGAATGACCACAGGAACGTATCATCTGATCACTTGGAAACTCTAGAGAGCCACACTGAACTGGAGAGCATGAGAGCCTCTCTCATCTACTGCACACATGAAACAGACCAATAACAATGTTTAGCCTTTACAATGACTCCAGAACTTATAATTTCTTGCTGATGGGGCTAAGGACAGACCTAATATTGGAAGAAGAGTTCCTTAAGGCACAAACAAGATGTGGACTTCCAGATTAACCTTTCAATTCCTTAATTTAAATGC